CTCACATGCCCCTCCCTCCCAGGCCCCTCCCCCACAGGCTCTCCCCCAGGCCTCTCCTACAGAGTTAAGTCCCACCCTTGGGAAAAGAAGGGGACTTGCAAATTCTGGACATTTCTAAACTTGCTTACAAGACAGATGGTGACCGATGTAGTTACAACAGGCCATATTTATTCAGTATTTACTTCAGGCCACACGCTCTGCTACACACTTACAGAGATTGTCTCGTTTAATCCCAAAACGTGGATACTGTTGTTATACCCATTTTACGGAGGAGGAAATCGAGGCCTCGCGCCGTTGCCCACTCTTACAGCACAGCGAGGTGACACTGACAATCAGCTCAGCATGCCCCTGAGATGGAAGCATACTCTGGTGACAGTCACCCAGGCCACAGCCCTTCAGGCTTCCTCTTCAGCTGTGCCTAAATTTAAAGCACTTAAAATCTAACCTGCTGCCACAGTCGGTTCTGACCGTACCACTCCGCCTGCACGTTCCCCGTCTGTCTCCCACGCAGCGTCCTGTCCTGCAGTGAGGGCCGTCCCTCTCCACACTCAGGATCGCTCTCATCTCCCAGCTTCTGCTCCCCTCCAGGCCTCAACTGGCCAGTGAGACAAACTGCCCACCTGGTATCGCTTAGGGGGCACCCGTGGCCTCTGAGCCCCTACAGATGAGGTGGAATGAAGGACGCTTACCTCCGTAGCCCTCGCGAGCCCAGACCTCAAAGGTTGTGTGGAGTGGGATGGAGACGAGGCTTCCCCGTCCCCCCTTTCTCACAGCTGTGAGGAAACCAGGAGGCACTGTCGGCTCTCCGTGGTGTGTGTAACTCACGCTGGCCCCAGGCCTGGCCACGGATGTTGCCATCACCCACAGGAGGTTTCGTGGGATTGTGTGTTAGAGTAGAAAGGGCTGTACACGTCAGTCAGGCCAACTTGCCATCAGAAGCAGGACTCTCCTCTGAAACACTTTTAGTAGGTGGACACTGGCCATCACCTGGACCTCTAATAGCTCACTGCTCACAGGTGGCTCCTTCCGTTCAGTGGAAGTGTCCTTAACACTAAGAGGGAAGCTGGCCCCTGTCAACTTCCGTGAGCTGATACAGTTGTCCACTCTCAAGCCTCATTGGCATAAGCCTCATCCTGCTGAGAAGGTAGTTGCAGATGACAGATATTCAAATGCAAAATGACAGATCCACAAAACCCTTATTTTACCTGCCATGTAACCTTGTCTAGTGCAGGCCCTGAAATCATTTGTGAGTTGGAGTGTTTTCAGTCTTTCCTCAGCTAGAATCGAGCACTACCAGGGGCATTCCAAATATGTCTCTGCTCTGCCCCTGGACGGAAAAGAAAGGCCTGATGCTATTCCCCTTGGCGGCACAGCGCTCCCTGCAGCTGGTGCCAGGGAGCGAATGCCTGCATGCACATATGTTTGAGTGAGTGAATGGGGCACTCCTGGAGCCATTAAGTCTGTGACCTGGGTGAGAGTGGAGTAAATAGGACCTTCGAGGTCCATGTGTGGCATGTCGTGTCAGTTAGGTGCCCAATACATAGTGTGGGGGCCGATCCTGGAGGCGGAGCCATAAACCAGGCAGAGCCCGGACGCAGGAGTAAGGCAAGGGGCTGGCGTGGGGACGCGGGCCTCGGAGTAGGAGAAGCCAGGGGACAGTGTACGGAGCCTGGAGGGGGCGTCAGAGCCTGTCAGGGACAGGTATTGGGCATGTGGAGGCATCAAGGCCCAGAATGTACGGAGGTGGAGGGCGAGTCCGGGTAAGTGACCCTGCCAGCGGCAGAGGCAGAGCCCAGGTCCCCTTCCACCAGGCAGGGGCCCCCCTGAGCAGGACCCAGCCCAGCAGCTTCCACCTCTGCCTCTGCCCTTGGCTCTCTCCTCATGCTCCCTCCAGTCAAGGCACAAAATCCAGTTCCCGTTATTTAAGATCAAAACTCAGGGGCTTCACAGCAGGTGGATGAGCAGACCATGGGGCGGGCCCCTTTGATTTGTCCTCTCCCAGGTCCTCGTCCATTAGGGTGACAGTTAGGGTGATCCCATGTGAACATTGGTCTAGGTTTACGGAGCGGTCAGCGCGTCATACTGACAGCACCCCCATTTCACTCGTTCAGATGTCCTGGTTGGGAGAATAATCCTGTGGTCGTCTCGCCCCAGTGATAATTCCCGCTCCCTCTCCTTCTCTGATCTTTTCAACCTCTGCTGGCTCCTCAGGGATTAAGGTTCTTTGCTTCAGATTATGGCGTATACCTCGGGGGTAACGTGGTCTCAGTGCAAGTTTTATTCTGAAATGCTTTCACCTATTTTGGCTACATACCACCTTTATTTCTACATCCAGGAATGGAAATTTCAGAAAATCAGAAGAAACTTGCCATGTTAAATGCTCAAAAGGCAGGACACGGAAAGTCAAAAGGTAAGTTCTGGAGAAGCCTTTATCCCCGTGATGTGGAGTTAAAGTCGGGTGAGAGGCCCAGCGTCGTTGGCATACGACCAACTCTAAGTGAAGGAGAGAACCGTGGGCGAAACTCAAAATGACAGTCTGCATTTGGTGTTGAAGGCTTCAGTTTTGCTTACATTTGCATATGAGTTCATAGAAGGCATTTTGAATTGTAACCGAAGAGCTCCCTGACCTCCCTGTCCTGCCCACAACCCCTCGGGGCTCCGCCTTCTGAGGGATGATGGCATCGTCCATGGCAGGAAGGGGCGGGGTGCGGGGGGGACCAGTTCACTGGTCTGAGACAGGCCAGTCACTCTGCATCTTTTGGGCACGTGGGGAGGAAACCTCAGCGTCCTAGTTTAAGTGGGAAAACAATCTAAAAGCTCAGTTCAGGAAGCAGCCACTTAGGGAAAAAGAGACACAGTCGCTCATTGAGAGCAGGCACCTTTGAGTACCAGGGCAGCTGTTAGCGAGTGCCCAGGCCACATACCCCAGGACCCTCATGGGCAAACAAGGATTGTCCACATGTAGGTAATACGAATATTCTAGACCAAAAAAATACTAAAGGTTTTTATGCCAAAACTGTTATATCGGTAAAAACTTTATTCAGATTGACTCTAATAGGGATTTACCCCATGAAATGTATCCCATTCAGTATTTTCCTAACTGAAAATGAAAATCAAGAAGCAGTTAAGCCCAGGGCTGTGATAAGCTGTCAGCTGCTGACCAAGAAAACTTCATCACCATCTGCTCCCTCCGTGGGAAGGGAGCATTCCCTACCCTCCACCTCAAATGATGAGTGTCCTCAAGGCAGAATTCTAGACCCATTTTGTTCTTTTTCCCGTCTCCGCTTTTAATTGCAGTGTCTTAGAATATGTTCGTTTCTGTTCGTATCTTAACAGTTACTGGCTTAGCATCTAAGCACCTAACGAATGCCGCGGATAGGATGTTTTGGGCAATGGCCTGTCGGGCACTTCCCGCGAGTTATCCTATTTCATCCCATTTCATCCTCCCGCCATCCCGGACGGCAAGGAAGGCCTACGGCGAGTCAGAGGCAGGGATGGGTTCCAAACCGAGCCCTGGCTTCTTCCAGAACCCACAGTCTTTCCTCTTAGCATGCTGACGTTCACGGTCACCACGCCGTCTTGTAGCTGACTTTAATAAGTCTCCTTAACAACCTCAGCGCAGACTTGAAACGACTCCTCTGATCAGATAGTTTTGATAAAGGCGATTAGGTGTCAGGGGCATTAGTCTAGGCACATTACTTGTATTGACCCGTTTGATTCTCATAGCAGCCCAGTAGGCACTGTCACCCCTTGTTAGATTTGGGGGACCGAGGCCCAGAAAAGGCAGCGGGTTTCCCAGACAGTCACAGTGACTGCATGGTGGCGTGCGAGCTCCAGGCGTTAGAGCTGCTGACCCCGAGGAGCAGTCCCGCTGGGACGCTGCCCCTCGCTGCTGCATGACCCCGGTGGCTCGTGTGCCCTCTCTGGTCAGAGCCCTTCCCGATCACGTTGTCACATTGCTGCAGTGGTACCTTCCCGGGACGGTTTTGGTGAGGATTCAGCGAGATCACCTGTGTCACGTGTCCACACGCAGCGTGCACTACCCTGAGTGTCACGATGGCTGTCAGATGTACTTCCGTTGCCGTGAATCGAGAAGCAGCTAAGAACGTGGGTCTTGGGGCTGATGTTGCCTCCTCGGCTAGTGAGGGACCCTCGGTCACATGCCATCTCTCTCCTCTCTCGCTTAGGCTACGGCGGGTGCCCCGTGGCCCCACCGCACCAGACCCTGCACCCCCTGCACCAGCGCCACGTCACCGTGCCCACCAGCGTCCCGCAGCAGCAGGTGTTCGCCCTGGCGGAGCCCAAGAGGAAGCCCTCGCTGTTCTGGCACACCTTCAACAAACTCACCCCGTTCAAGAAGTGAGAGCGGGGGCCGCCCTTCCGCCGAGGCGGCCGTGACGAGGACCTTTTTGTTTCTTCTGTGCCCGGTCCAAGGACGGTGTGGGGACCATGTGCCGAAGGCCTCTCTCGAGGACCAGTGAAGAAAGAAGGACTCGGGCTCGCCTTCAGTCTTCAGAGATGCAGCCGCCCCCTTGGAAGTGGGGAGCCGGTGACGACTCGGCTTTAATGGACATGAGAGCCCTCTGTGGCCTGTGCGAAGTGGCCGAGACCTAGGGTCCAGTGACGTGCTCTAAAGTGAATGCTGGGCATCGCTGATGACGAGCGCTCCGGCCACTGAAGCCCAAG